CGGAGACAAACAGACAGACGGAATTTCCAGGAAAGCAAACCACCGCAGGCTACAATTATCAGTAATGTGGAGGAATAAAATCTAAAAGAAACACACACACACACACACACCTTTACACACCGCCATCACGACCAAGCCATTTGCCATAAAGGTAAAGTTAGTGAAGTGGAAACCGAAACAAAACGCTCCTGACAATGTGATAGGTAGACCTTAAAAAAAAAGGATAGCTAGAGGAAGGTGTGTGTGTGTGTGTGTGTGTGTGTGTGTGTGTGAGTGAGACAGGCAGGTAGTAAACTTGCAGGAAATCTCATTTCAACTCTCCAGAGTGACGGTGTACCGCCCACGCCCCCGTCTCCTCACCCCCTCCCTCCTCTTCCTCACCCCCCCCCTCCCGTTCTACATTTGTCTCATTAACCAAACAACGTTGGCTGCCATTGCACCTCCTTTGCTCCAGTGACTACAAATGAGATGTTAGGAAAAGAAAGATGGAATAAGACAGGGAAGAAAAACAGAGACAGTTTGAGTTTCATCTGCGCTGATGGGGGAAATCAGTGAAGAGTCACAGCTCGACGGTGTTTTACGATGCTGCTCAGTGGCCCATAACCACCATAACCACTGATTGAAGTTACAACCCAGTAACACTCTCTTAAAGTTCTCCTCCTGCGCTGCCGTATTTGTTAGAACGGGCGTCGACGGTTTGAACTTATGTCGAATGACTGGATTGTAACGTGAGGCCGAACGACAAGGATGACATTTATTAACGCGTTCGTCAACTCGTAAAAATGAAGATGATGTAATAAATCTGGCACAGATGACGTCCAATCAGTGCTGACTTGGAACTAATGAAGGGCCAGAGCCAATCAGAGCTGTGTTTGTTGGTTAGGAGCAGGAAAACTGTAACTGCGGTCCCAAAAAAAAGTCCTTCGTTTCTACTTTCCGTATTTACCAGAATAAGTCGCACTTTTTTTTCATCCTTTGACTGGATTTGCGACTTATACTCAGGTGCGACTTATATATTAAAATGTATAATTTGCAATGGTTATTTTTACACTGACAGCCACTAGAGGGCACTCTAGGCTTGTGTAACACTGTCTGCTACACCTGTAAGTCGCACTTTTTTCATCCTTTGGCTGGTGAGACTTATTAATCCGCAAAATATTTCTCATCCTTTGGCTGGTGCGACTTATTAGTCCGCAAAATACGATAATTCTACTTAGTTGAAAGAGATTGGTATCTATTTAATATAATAATATAATATTAAATATGTTTACAGTGTGTACTGTAACAAATAATATAAAACTGTATAATTGATTGTGAGGTCATTTAATAACAACAATAATATAAATATATAAATAAAGTAATATTTTTACGTAAGTGATGATACATTTATAATATAAATAAATAAAACACAGTTGCCATAGATTTTATAAACATGAAAATATTACACATTTATTTCTCATCCATTGACTTAATTGGGACTAAGTAGCAATTTCGTCCAGTGACTTAAACTAAGACTTAATGAACGGTCGCTGTCAAACCTGTCACACAGAGAACGGCGCCGGTACTGTACGGTCTGGTACCATTTATTTTACAGTGCTTCCTGAGAATGACTTGATACACAAACACTGTCCTGCACCGTGTTTTCCCTCAGACTCTGTTGCACAACACATTCATAAATTGCCCAAAGGCAAAGGAAGGATTTTCTTCAATTATGCCACGAAGGAACTCATCACTCATTGAAGAGGGTGTTAGGTAATGAGTGCTTAACTGTGTCCTAATTAGCAGCTGAAACATGGCGGCTTGAAGTGCAGCTCTCTTAAGGTGGTATGACAGATCGTCCTGTTGGCGTGTAACCTTGGTGACAGTCACTCGACTCTGCAAACGCCTTGAAGCATTATGTCGTCAGGATGTCGGTCTGTTCGGGATCACTCTGACCTTTAGTCGCGCCGATGTGAGGTATGTAAGAGACAGCTGATGGTGGTAACTAGCAAAGATTTTACAAGACATTTCTCCGGCTGAGATTATAATATACCAGTGTTCCCCACTGCACAGACTTCACATTTAGAAAAATGAGCCAAACGAAAATGTTCCAAAAACTACATGTAGAGTAATGTGGATTTTTTAGTTTTTCATTTACTCACAGATGATCTCACTCACGGTGGAACATGTGCCTGTTTAGTTGAACAGAACTCGCACGGTAAACTCGCAGGAATTGAAGAAAGACAAACATGAAGATCTTCTTTAACAGCTCTCTTTTTCTTTTAGTTTTATACCCATTTGCTGCCCCCTACTGCCTGTCATTGTTGCATGGATGAACCAAGAGAAATGAATAAATACTAGTAAAATTGTACTATGATCATTTTTCATTGTACGCCTGATGATCCTGAT